CAAGGCACCCGACCTCTACAACAGATCCGGACCAGTGGCCGAGGCAGTATCATAATGATCAGACCACAGTCAAGGTTGGTGCGAATAGGTGGATAGCCTACCGATGATTCTTGGTACTGATGATTGTCCGACTCGACCAGCACGCCGTCCTAACAAAGAGATTTATGGTAAGTGGCTCGGAAAGACGCCCCCCACCGTCCCTGGCGAAGACACACTCTCAGAGTCCGCAGTGGCAGCCGCAGGCGGGGAGGACTGAAAAATGCACGTTGCAGGGATTGAACCAGGGACCTTCCGATCATGAAGATACACTTACCTCATGAACATGTGTGTCGACCGCTGGAGCATGAACAACCTCTCGTTCCGAAGGAGAGCTATCCGTCTCAGGCAGCAGGCCCGACGGCGCAACAGAGCCAGTCCTGAGACAAAAGGAGAATCTTTAGGTCCACCCATACAAGATACAAAATAGGTCAATGATATACCTACCAGCCCATCTTAGCATACAGGCTTTGTTCATTCTGTGACATCTCCACCGTTACATCGACATCCAGCAAATTCTTATCCTCTGTATAACGATCCGCCGGGACAGCGGTGATAGCTGCCTTGGACCCCTCCCTAACATAATCACTATAATATACCACAACCATGGGCTACCATGTACTACCTTTTCCTCTCAGCCGCCAGTGTGTTGCTCATCTCCGCGAAAAGCTTATCCTGGTAACTCTCATCACGGGGATCAGCAAGGCTGGATGCCAACTGAACAGAACGGCAGATGAATACATACTAACCAGGGATCGAACTGACGACCTCTACATTTCTAGCTTACTAACCTACCACTACACTATTTATACCCACCTGTGCATTCACGCTCGTAAGATCCTTCCGCCAGCTCTCGAACAGCTCGCTATCCTTATTCACCAACTTGGATGGGCAATATCTAACGAACGCCCGAATACACCCGGAGCCAATAAAGTTCGGTGCTACGTTCTAGCGAAGAAGACAGCCTCCGGCAGCCTGTTGGAGTCCACAAGCGTATCCACACATCTCTCGGCATCACCCAGGAGCAAAAACGCAGAAAACGCCACATTCCACATCTCTGAAACACAAAATACTCATCCAGTATCGCTTCGCTCCGCTAATATAACCCACCTTTCTCCTTAGCCATAGAAGCTACCTTCTCCAGTAGAGACCGATCCCCAGTAGCTTGGGCAATGAGCATGAGGCCGGTGACGTCACAGCCTTGTGAATAACAAGTAGTCGCCAAGTCGATATCACCCTGACGAGACAGCTAGTGATGGACACTATACTCTGATGGGCCTCATATGGAGGCACTATAGTTAGTTATGAAGTTCGCGTGATTTCAAAGAGGAGTGGTAAGGATAATAACAATGCCTCCAGGTGGGCAACATTACCTGCTTTAGAGCCTGATCACCAACTTGCTTCCACTTAGAGTAATTGACTGTTCTATCAGCGCCTGGTGGCAACTGAGCCGTCAACTCCCCCACAATCTCTCCAGCCATCTGTAAGTCACCGAGATTCAAGGCCAGGTCCAACCTAACAACATATTCCTCATCTTACATTCTAGACACAACACCAGTCAGCGCTCACTTATGATCCTTATCGGTAGTGATCTCAAGGGCCTCTCTGACATGCCCCTGGCCCTCGAGGAAACGAGCCACCTTGTTGTGTAGAGCCTTCGGGATGGCTGAAAGAAACACATCCCAGCTAGAGAAAACAAGAGCATGAACAGACCCACCTGCGAAACACTGCTCGGCAGCACCAAAGTCTTGCCTTACTACGGCACTTTCATATTGGATCAACGCCAGGCTCAACCTGAAAACCGACGATTCAACGAAGGAGTGGTATGACACCACCTACCCGAACGAAATGACGTTGTAGTCCCTGTCCATACAATACACCTTCCCATGCTCCGGCATATACCCCAACACATACAGGGGCCTGACAGTCACTACACTGTGTGCTTCTCTCCAACGACTGTACCAACCTATCAGTGTGAGCAATGACCTCAGTCTGACCTGCCACAAGGCAGCACAACTTCTGGTTCGATGAGATGTAGACGAAGGAGTCATTGCCACACCACGTACCAGACATGACCTTCTCATTTGGCAACTAACATAAATACACTATCAGTAGCACTCGGTAGCTATTCCTGACCTCATAAGTGGGCTCAAAGGCTATTTCCAGACCCTCCTCATCAATGTTCGCTCCTCCTGCTATCGCCGCTACCACTGAGTCCTTATCATAGTGTAGTACCTAAGCCCACTGACGTTACACCCAGCCGATATACTATGCATGTTTGTCGTTACGAAAGCACCATCATCCTCAGTGGCCAAAACCACAAAGTCACCAGAGTCACTCCAGATGACAGCAGTAGGGACAACGTCGATCCTTCTGATCAGTCTACTGCTACTCCACTCGTAGAAGCAGATAAAGTCAGAGGTCTTCACACACAGCAAATAACCTGTCGTAAAAACAACATCCGCCGGGATCGAACCCGGGATCTCCACATTACCTCCAAAAATCTCATCAACAGGGAATGGTGGCTTGAAAGACGTCTCCTCCACAAAATCCTTATAGATGGTAATCCTACCAGAAGCTTCCCTCGTGGCATAATACGTGCCCGATGCCGCTCCACTGGCCGACCACACGAATTCGCACCCGCTACCAAACGCCTTGTTTCGCAGAGCCTGAACAGAAACCATTCGAAAACGGGAAGAGTACTCCAACTGAACCCTACCTGTGCAGTGAAGACTATCCATTCATCATCACCGCATACAGCGAACAACCTCCCATTAGGATGATGAGATATGGTCTGTGGGAATATCTCAGTCGATCCCATGTCCTTCACTGACAGAGGCACCATCTCCCCATCACCCAACGTATCTAGGAAGAGCCATACCACACAAGCTGACATAACCCTGCCTAGTACCAAGGACGTGGTCATCCACCTGCCTCAGGTTAGCAGTATGTATCTCATTCCCTCTAGCCCAGACGATCTTCCCACCAGCATGCATAGACACAACAGGCTCCTCCGACCCCAGCTGGATGACCATCGTTCCTACACCAACCACCCCTCGAAACAACCATCAACAACCACAATCTCACCTTCATCGAAGCCCAAGGCAACATCGTTCGTACCAGGAAGGCACGCAACGCTCCATAGTCTTTCCAGGAGGTAGTTCAATGTCGTCTCCAAGCGGTAACTGACGACCACCACCTCCGGGCCACATCCCCAACACCATCATAGACCTACGTCGTGGCATGCCAGATCCTGCAAGTGCCATCCTCGCTGCCTGACAGGATAACAGGCAGAGTCGGATGGAAGAGGACCGAGGAAATGTTGGCAGTATGGCCGCTAAGGACCTAACAATGATCACTGATAACCACAGCGACTGCTGATCATGAAGGCTGACCTGCAGGCATTGCCTCGTCTGATAGTCCCAAACACGGACCGTCTTGTCATCGCCTCCCGACACCAGGTACCTAACGCTCCATGGTGGCGTAATTGTGAGAAAAAAACGTCATTACGGCTTATCCTTGGAAGGACTGTATTCAATACAGTTGACTCCTCTCGTATGGCCAGTCAACGAGAAGTGGGGTGCAGTAGAACCACTAGTTACTCCCCACACCTACCACAACAACCTCAACTCATCCAACATTCCACCATCACACTACCTTGATAGATCGATCCAAACTAGCCGAGGCGAAGATATTCATATCCTTAGGATTCCACTGTACCATCATAACATAGTGAGCATGTCCCTGAAGGGCACCAGTTCCTCACACCTACACCAACGATCGGACCCACCTCGTAAGTGGCAGTACACGCCCAGTCCTTATCCCAATCCCATAGCTTGATGGTCATATCATCAGAACAGGAAATGACATAAGGCAGAGTAGAGTGCACCGCGATGTATCGAATGTAGTCCCCATGGGCTTCGATGGTCTGATGGTCAGTATTGTTACATACGACAGACACCGTCAAAAAAGAGGGCACGAACCTTGATTTTCTCCAATGTGTTTTGATTGTAAACGCGAAGGTTCATATCATCAGATCCCGCGATTATCCATTGTTTCCTAGGGATAAACTTGGCGCATCGGACCTGCATTCACGAAGCCATACCACACCATACGCACTTCACGAGCCGATCTCTCACCGGCAAAGGCGCTGAAACCTCAACCTGCTTGACCAAAGCCTGAGTCTTGTAGTCCCATATATAAAGGTTACCAGAATACATAGCGCTCAGTACCTACCACAAGGCACCCTCATAAATGGCCACTAGTAGCAGTGATAGAGTACCCAGGGAAGGTCCGGACTGGGGTGGAAGTCGACTGACTTCACTCGGTCCGACCGAGCGTTCATTTTCTTCTTAATATCCAAACGCAGCGGCATGATGATCACGAGTTGTTGATAAAAAAGGCCAACCGCCGGCTCAAGACGCAAGAAAAAACTGCACAATACAACCACCTTTTCAGATAGGAAACTAATCAGTCCATCGCTGAACCCGAACCTGCCAGACTCGGATCCATGTAACAGCGTTAGCTCAGATGGACGAGTTTTCCCCTCATTCGACTATTATCTACAATACTGCATTCGCCCAAGTAGGCTCGGAAAGCGAGAGGACAAAGGGTCTGAGAAGCAGCACTGTGGACGCTATTATCGCTGGGGGATTGGTGACGGCACGATGAAGAAATCTAATCCACTACTCGACCAACGAGAAGTGGTCGAATATTATATAACTCTTCGTGATGATTCCCATATGATCTAAGATCCATTGCATTGACCGCTAGACCGATCACTGCTGAGTTACAAAAGGTTAAGTCGGCAGCGCTATAGAAGCAACTTTCGAGATACAACTGAGTTGTCATTACTGCAGTGTCTGACCGGGTTCGACGATTAATTCGGACGAAATAACCCACATGTGATGTTTTCGCGCACTTTCTACATCGGCGCAATTTGATCATTGTCAAGTTTGATATGAACTGTAGGTCAAGTTAACTTTCAGGGTGCCATAGATGAGCTGAAGCCGTGGGGAAAGACAGACTCTCCTTTCCATAGCACAAAGCCAGTCACAAGTATAGATTTGGGCACCGTGTCGGCAACGGTGTAGGCATTGGGGGATAAATACCCATGGGGTTCCGGTCGTTCGTACGAATGGAAACGGGCGCTAACCTCCATTTCACGATGGGACACAGGGCAAGATGAAAAGGCCTCGAGTCGGGACGCGTGCTCCTTGGGAAAGACACAGAATCGACATATTGCACATTTTCGAGGCGATATGAACCTAAGACTGGGCATGGATACTACTGAGTTGAACAACTCCTTTGATTGTCCATCAACCCATACAATGTTGATAGTGGAAACATCATTTTAGTTACCGGCATGTCACATGATTACAGAGATTAATAACGAGAGGGGTAACATAACAATTAATACTGAAGGGCCGTCGCCGGCCCCTCCCATCTGGGGGATGATCAGATCCGTAACCCAGAAGCCCTGAACTTTCATATTCGAGTCCACGTTGCGCATCACATCTTCGTTGTTCACCTGCGTGGTACTAGTCAGAGTAACACAGTAGCAGATACAATGTAAGCCTTACTCGAGTCGTAAAGGACCAGAAAGGCGGACTGCTGTTAGTAATAGAGGGGTTGACGTTGGACATAGCATTCATGACGTCAACTCGCATAATATATCGATACCGTTGCAGACCAGCCCCCTGTGGGAACCGCACTGTGAGCACGTTGTCTGAACCTCCACACTAAACAGAACACGGTTGGACTCTCTGCCAAACGATGAGAGTCCCACCGTAGTTCCAACAGGAGGAAAGACGTAGTCGTCCGGGATCTCATATCCCGCAATAGCACTGGCCTCAGGTTTCATGTCGAAATGAGAGCAATTGCTAGGAAAAGCAAATCCCTGAGATGAACCATGTCCATCTGAAAGATACACCCAAGCTACCCATGGTGCAGCGAGGACAACTTCATTGCCGACATCAGCACGGTTCATAATAGTAGAAGGGAGAAAGTAGACGGCTATGTTATTCCGATGTCTCTTGTACGTAAACTCCGGTACTATAGTCACCTAAAAGCCGTCTAAGGGTCATTAGATCAAACCGTCATTGAAGGTACCTCGACCAGGCCTGTGATGTCAAAGCCAGGCACACCGAGGCGTATGTCGATAACAAGTCCCGATGGAGATCGAATACGGAAGGCCCATGTATTGGGTTGTGGAGTGAATCGCGGGTTCTGGACATATCTATCATGATAGCAGCAACACCATTACAGCTCGACGACGATGACGGGTCTACGCTTTGATTTTGAATTCTTCCTCTGGTGCCTTCTCCTCGAGAGTATCGAATTTAAACTCAGCCTCGTGTAGGTTGGCCGAACAGTTGGTCGCAGAGCTCAAGTTGACATAGGATGCCGATTCGCATGAGAATATGAAGCCCTACGCAGCTCCACTGTGACCGTCGCTGCTGTTGCTGTGATTACTCTCGGTGCCTCTATCATCACGGTCGTGTTTCCCGAGAGAACCTTCGTGCTTTTTATAGTGAAATGGATGAGGTTTAGGTCATCTCCCTGACTGGTCGTCTCGGGTTCTATTATGGCGGTGTCTAGTAGTGCCAGGTCGAAGCCTGGAACTTCCTAGACAACGCACCAGGACCGCGAGTCAACCAAAGATCCCCACTTCCTCTAGGTGTAGCATGACTCCTCTCGTGTGCGTCTCAAATCGGAAAATATTCTGACCGTCTGGAGGAAGGGTTGGGGGATTCATCGCGCCCACTTGGAAAGCGTAATTCAGGCCGGGGTCCATCTTTTCAGCCATCTTCACAAGAGAACACTCGCGCCGGTTACAACATCTTATTCGACCACTAGGTTCATCGATCCCGAGCGTCAGAGAATAACACCAATGCTGATACGCGGTCCTCCAAATCTCAACCGAATGCGAACTTCCACACTTTACAACGCCTCTTGACGTACCATGGTGGGCTCAAGAGGCTCGGCGACTCACCGTCAAATCAATCAACATGAGACCTGTCCGCAAGTCGATCGTCGATTCACAAATGGTCCCCACCGGGAGCCCCACAAAAGTCCTACTAGGATCGAAAGGAAGGTCTGCCCCTACGTACCTAAGAAGATCAGTTCTAACAACAATAGCATCGACTCGGCACCTGTGATAATCCAAGTCGAAGCTGCGGACAGCACAGCCATCGTCCACAGGTTCGAATCCTGGTGGGAACCATATTCTCAAATACGAAGTTGGACGTGCCTGAGACTGGCATCCTTGAACAAACCAATCCGTCAGAGCAGCCTCAGTCAAGCGCTGGGGTAATTCAGTGACTTACAGCATCGCGCGGCAGATCAGAGTCCAATATGAAGGAAATTCCGATTGCGTTCTCAACTCCAGGGGAGTTCACACGGGACGCGACCTCGGCACGACGGAATGAACCGTGTATTTTGAACCCAGGCACATCATAATTCACATCTGACTTATTATACCTATTCCGCAGCTAAAAAGGAGCCTTCTAAGATGCGCTTTTTACAAGCTTGACGAGTCCAATGACATCGTCTCGAATCGCCAAATGTTGAGATCATCGGGTGGCGAAATAGATGGATTCGACATTGTCATTGTCAATACCAACTCGACCTCTCTCCTTAGAGGCTCGTCCTGACTGTCTATCAATAGTTGGTTGTCGCTGAGCCTAAGCTCGCTACTGATGGAATCACTTTGTTCTTCTGCGTACCTCCATTCCACCGTACTCGGGAAGCCCCCACCGGTCGATACCTCGCTAGGTGTAGCTCCATCCGGGGCGAACTCCGGCGGGAAAGTAATGACCAGTCGACAGGGAGGATCCACCTACCCCTAGTTGACGAGGCAGGGAGACAGGATTCTCACTTGCGTGGAGAGCCTCAAACGAATCTCGACGCGGTTTTCAGCAACGCTGACTTTTGTTTGCTCCGGTGAAATCAGATGAACGTAGATAATACCGAGTTGGTGGAAACCGGTAGTAATCTTCCTATCGAGAGGAGTCTTCGCGGAATCCGAATCGTGGGTAATGAAACTCCACAAGTTGCTCAACTGGGCTGAGCACGAGAGATGCCTCGAGGCCTTGTGAGCCAACCTGTGCACTTACCTGCATGGTCGTCCACAGAGATGGGCAGATCCGCGTTATACCCCGTCACGGAAAACGTAAGTGGGGTACCCTAACCGCATGATGGACAACCACGGGAGATAGGTGACTATATACCTTCTCCAGAACTGTCGTAGCACCTAGCGTAACCTCCAGCATGCCACCGCTGGATACGCAATATAGGACTTTATCGTTGCCACGCTCGACGGGTGGAGTGTGGAAGTTGGCGTTACTGCAGAGATTTTCGAGTTCGTCACATGCGCGCTGGTAACTATGGGACAGCCTTCGTGTGAACTTCTTTTACTCCGCCTACGCTATGAGGTCCGAGGCATACGATGTCTGAGGTACTTGCTGTGTGATGGTCTCAACTTGGAGACAGGGTGTGAACGTAAACGGACAACTCCACTGCCCATCAGTGTCGCGTGGTGCTGTTATCTAAGTGCAACGAGCGTGACTATTGATGATCATATGCATAGTCAGCTATGCACTGATTCGAATCGACTAGGAAATTGGACACTTCTCCGTACCGAGCAGTCGATCTCCTGGTCAGGGCGTGGTCGAGGAACTGCATACCCAGCTGGTGGTGGTATGGCACTGGGGAAATCGGTTTCCGTTGTAGGATCTACTATCCTAGGGCCGAAGTAGTAGCTCGTCACAGGGGCATGTATCAATATCGATCCCGATTCGGGTATCTGCCGAGCAGACTGTTCAAGGTTAGCAGTAAAACCACCGTTCCTACACGAGTTATCGGGGTAAGTGAGAAAGTGAAGGTGGTAAAAAGACCATGTGCAGGGTTCGAACTCGCGACCGACGTTCCTTCCAATTCTGGCAGTATAGTGTAACCCGTTGCAGCCCATGTCTCTGGAGCACTCTCATGTAGCGTATACGCCTCGATACGCCATAGGTTCACTTCTGGGGTGGATTGGGGGTTCACCACATTTGTCACTATTTGCTCATAGGTCGTTCCGCCCAGCAAAGACCTTCCAGTGCGCTCCTCGTCTTCGTTCTTCAACACTATCACATTATTCGAAGTGACGGTACAGGAGATGTGACTCGGCAGTTGAGTTGTGTCCAGTAGACTAGTCCGGGCAAATTCAGCCCTCAAGTCCAGGACGTTCAATAGGGTGCTCAAATCGGTGCCGGACGAGGCCTCCTCGATTTGCTGTGGTGTTGGATAAACACACGGTTGGCCAACAGCATCGACTATCAGAGCTTCCGGAGTGGTAATAGTTATGTTAGCTTGAGGTGGCAGAGCCTCGTACAATGAAAAGGATATCTTCACAACAGTACGGTACAGACCAACAGGACTCAAGCCTTCAACAGAGAAGTACCGGGCTCGATGACGGATCGGGAAACCGTACATTGCGCCGTTGTAATCAACCATAGTGCCATTACTCAACAGAGTTTTCATTTCCCACTTTTTATCCTCTACCGTAAAATCTTCAAAAGGGGTCGATGGATTCTCAATGAGTACTCTAAAGCCGTAGGTTCCGGGCTCCAGAAACGAGCCCATGGGCGTCTTTAGTGTGACAGTTCGAAGGCCGTCACCACGACAGCTCGTACCAGATGGTAACACACCAGCATCAGCATTTCCCACCGAGTCAGTAGAGAAATAGCGGCATACGGCAGGAAAATGGAAGCCCTGCGGCGCAGTGACTGTTATAACACCACCATTGAAATCAGATGTAGAGCTCGGCAACAGCGAAGTGGTAGTGAACTTGATACTGATCAGGTTGGGTGATGCCTCCCCTACTATGGAGTTTGCCGGGTTGTACGCAACGATATTCGTGTTGAGAATTTCCTGGATCTTCAAACCAGCAATCCAGTTCTCGCTGATCATCGTCACTCGAGGGTTACCGTCGTCTTTAATCAGAATGTTCCAGTAGTTGTGCGCTGGTGTGACCAACGGGTTCGACACCCTCGCTTCAATAGCGTAGTCGCCTGCAACAAGGGTCCTCGGGAGGGTGACCTCAGCAGTGAAGTCGTTCACTGGACACACGCACGAAAGTTCCTCAAGATCAGGGAAGTCACCATAACGTGTTCCCATACTAGTGGTTCCCACTATTTCACAACTTCGTGTGTCCACGTTGCGGATCAGACTGAACCCTTTTGGAGCGACCAAGACCAACAGTCCACCAACAGGAGCGTCGATCGGCAAACCCATGACGAATGTGACAACGTTATCAGCAAAACCAGCCCGACGGTCCTCTGTAGCTGGCAGGGATATATAGCGCGTCTCGGACATACGCTTGGTAAGACGGAAGCCTGAGACCGTCTTCTCTTCGACAACCTCCCCACCGACTCTGGTGGATAGAGTAAAGTAGTTGCTGATTGAGTTGGCAAAGGCAGGGTTGATCATATCAACCACGAAGGAGTACCTGGTGCCTGCCTTCAGTCCTTGGTCGGGATCATCAAAGTATCTGCCAGTAACGGTAGCTACTACGAAGGAGCAGTGACGTCGCCTGACCCACACGTGAAGCTTATTCTTCTCGTCCTCCACTGAGTGAATCACAGAGCATTCTTTCTCGCTAGGAAGTTGCTGCGTCACGGTATCAGTCTGATCGATGTCAGCCTCCTTCAAAGGGCATAGGAATGTGAACCCAACGGGGGCTTGGACCAGCAACTCCGCCCTCTGGCCTGAGAAGTAGCATCATCTAGTCAGCATCGAAATTCATACTGGACTGCATAGTGAGGACATCGGCGGTGGGTTCGAAGACGATAGTGGTCGGATTGTCCCAAGCTTCCTCCACGGGGTTGTATGCTGTGATGGACACGTCCACGAGGACCTGCAAGTTGCAGGTTGCAACCACACCCCACGCGGAGCGGACTGACCTGCGTGCGAAAGCCCGAGGTGCCTTTACTAGCGACATTTTGGTAGGGCTCATCAACATCGCCTGTGAGTCTATAGTGCTCAAGCCACCACGTATTTGATGCTGGGGACTCGGCTGGTATAGTAACTACCGCCTTGAAGCCGTATCTACATTGCGATGGGCACACTAGCGGCCTCTAACCTACTCGAATCCCGCCTGAAGATCGTCCGACAGGCGAAAAGAAAGGCTGTTGGGCGTCACACCCTCCACGATGGGTTCGGAAGTGGACATGTCAACAGCGCCAGTAACAGCAGCCGCCGTGGAGAAGGCCAAGGCAACAGCGATGCCCGCCGCCCCTCCAGTGCCGTCACCAGTGTACCTCAGGATGAAAGTGCTCTTGCAGGTCGAGATTGCCTGCTACCAGTTGAGACCTTCCGGAGCCCTCACCCTGATGTAATCATCGTATGGTACAAATTCTGCCGGAGAAAAACGTATGACTATCTCCCTGTTGCCTGAATAGCGGCTTGTTGGGAGCACCACGAAGGAAGTGAACTCTCTGGGGTATAGCTCGAAACCCTCAATTTTGGCGACATCAGCACCAATACCATCTGGTCGTACTGTATAGGCATACCAAAAATTCTCCAACGTGGGTGGTGTTGATGGAGGATTCCCAAACTCCACATCGAAAACCATAGTGCTCCCAGCAAGGACACTGGCTGGTTGAGGGAAGGTAAGCGTCAGTTGCCTTGCTTCATCACCCTTGCACACGACATCAGGCATGTGCACAGCTTCAAATCTCGGGCATCTTTTCTGGACGGTGAAGCCTTGAGGAGCAATGATGACCATTTTCCCATCGCCACCATGACCAAGATCCTGCTTAGCAGTTAGCGTGAATCGTATAAGATTGGAAGCATTGCTGATCTGATTGGCGTGGGCCAGAGTGGCAGCAAGCATTTGAGAATAGACAGGGAATCCTCGAACATCTCTAGTGGCCGCTATGATGTTCTGGAATGGCTCATTAGCATCCTAAATAGCTGTCGATGGAAAACTGCCAAGGGCCGACCCCACCGACCTTCACTGTGATTGTCCAGCTCTGCGCATTGGTTGCTTCAGAGGGGTTTTCCACCATCAGCTTCACAGTGAACTGCGTGTCCTTGAAGGCGGTCGTCTGGACTATCCTCAGTTCCCACGTGTTATCGGCCACGTTCATGTCCCACAACCCTACCAAGGCATCCTCGCCGTCCACAGACTGGGGTGCTTCACTGTCGACAATCTGACGATCAGATACAGCAAAAACACCATGACCAGGGATCGAACCGGGGATCTAGGTCGCCAGACTGACCTTGAAGCCTTGTGGAGGTTCTATAACAATACTTCCAGCATGCGTCACTGTACCTCCTGATAAAGGCCGCAATGGCTGTAACGTGTTGCCTGGACTGAACTGCATCGTTACCCATTGCCGAGCACCAGCCGCCTGAGGCGGCATCATCTCCCAGCCAACAGCGCAGCTACCAAGTACTTGAAACTGCCAAGCGACCATCTCCCCCTCAGGTTCACCAACAACATGGACTGGGCTATCTAACAGTACAGTGTGTGGATAGAGGTCAACATCTTGGTTAGAGTCTCGAAGACTCATGGCCACCCACACCATATTCACCGCTGCCGCCGGGTTGGGCAATCGAATCTGACTCGACCCCACGATTGGTCATGTCAATTTCCGAGCATGCTTTCAATGAGTGCTACTTGAAAATCGCTTGAATAGTCCTGGACTGTTGAAGAGCCGATAGCTATTCTAAACCCGTTGGCCTGAGTCCCATCAGAACCCGGGTAAGCTCTCAGTGTACAGCTACTGCCAGGGATGAAACTCTTGTTGGAGTAACCATCGCAAGCCGCGCCTGGGTAACCTTACAGCAACCAAGATGGCAACGACGATAAGATTGAGCAGGCGGGGCTGTCGAGAAGTGCCTTTCTCACCAAGCCTCCACTTGTCCGTAGGATGAGCTATGATATCAATACTATAGCCGCTGTCCATGGTACCAACGGTTTTCATGGCGAACGTCATGAGCTGTACGGCCCCCGGCTGATAGGACTCCTAAGGCCACCATTAGAAGCCCCTATTGATTTTGTCTAACCTGCGAACGTAGAGTGAACTCAGTGACCCAACCGTTGGTGTTGGAGGCGCCATAGGTGTCGGCGTTCAACTTGACCATCCTCGTCAAAGTCCTGAGCGCCTCACGGAGAGCGACCAAGGCAATAGCAGCGGCTCACAATGGGGCTTTGGTCTGCTCAATCACGCGTAGTTGGTAGTATTCGATAACGAGGCTGAATGAGTTGGAATTCCCTAACAAGATACGCCTCAAGGTGGTTCGAGGTGATACGATGGTGTCACCTCCACTGTCTGGTAGTTCTACACTTGGCATCATCATGAGCAACGTAAAACTATATCGAGTAGCCGCCTTCAGGCGCTGTTGTAACTCTATCCTCATCTCTGAAGGACGGATGCTATTACGTCCTCTCTATCAAGCCGAAATAATCATCTATATAACAAGGCTTGGAATCTTGCCTATAAACGCTTTCGGCCACCATCCTCTACAAAAGGTATAACTAGCAGGGTATCATCCCAACTCCACCGACTCAAGTTGAGCCGCTCGATCCCTGTAGATTTCTAATGGGTGTGGCTTGCGACACGGGATGTAATTTCCGCCACAGGGTTGGAAAATTCCCATCACCCGAGAACTGCCCACCTCTCGTTGAGAAATAGCAACTAGACAGACCAGGAAATCCCGAGGTAGCATCGATAACACTCGCACAGTCCGATGCCTCCACGAACGTAGCATAGTCGAGAACAAGGCGTATCTATTCAGCTCAAGCAGGAGAGCTTCCTAACGGTGATCTCTGACCTGCATAGCAGCCGCAACACTGTTATCAACATAGTCCGGGTAGTCGCTGGTCGTGAAGGTAAACCGCACAGGGCCCAACCTGCGGCAGTGATTGACTCATTGACGCCTGTCTGCCTAACCCATCAGTATCATGAAAAGCACATGTAGCGAATGGATCCGTGGTAAAGTAGAGCCCCGATGGTGATAACGTGGTAGTAGTGGTTTGAGCAAAAGCCAGCGTAGCCCACAGGAGACTACAGCCTATGAGGAACACCATGTCTATTACAGCTGCTCAAACGCCTACTGTGAGTTGCTCTACATGGTAGAATTTGTGGTAGGGAATAATGAGTTTTATAACCAACTCAACATCGGGGTGGTGATGATTAATCAAAACAGGGCATTGATGATGATGACTTATGACGCAACAACTTCGACATAGCCTTCTCGACATCCCTCCTTGCTAAGAATACAGTCTGATACCTACCGTCACCGCGCCACGAAATTATCACATCGCGTCCAACGTTCTCACACAGCTTCACTATTCACAAGTCTACTTTGCTACCACAGTGGAAAGTGACGAGGGAGATGGTCCACGTGATCGACAGGGAGTCGACCAGACAGTTTTAATGTTAGTAACGACCGTGTCGCGCCACGAGACTGTTGTCAATAGCATCGCGTCCAACGTTCTCACACAGTGGAGGGATGGTCCATGCGATCGACAGCAATATGAACTTTACCCTAGTTGAATCCAAGGTAGGCAGATCTGCAAACGGAAAGAATTCACAACCACACACGCAGTAATAATAGCACTATCGGCGACAATGGAGTGCCCTCTAGAGCACTCTGCAAGGAGACGTATAAACACG